TTCCACTCCTTTTGTCTCCTCTTCTTCTTTCTCCTGTTTCTCCACCCTCTCCTCCTCCTCCTCCTGAACCATCTGTTTAGTTTTAGTGGAGGTATTACGGCGCTCGCAACTGCATAAGGTCATATGAACGCCAGAAGATTAGAAGTGTTACAAGGGAGTAACAAACACACAAAAGAAGAACTGGCGATAAGGACGATAGACGTTTGATAGGAAAGAAGAAGCAAACCACACCAGAGCACCCGCCAACCACCCGGGAACCATCTGTGAACCACACCTAACACAACAAACGAACAAACCAACTTTAGCTTTAGTAAGAGTTTTACGGCACTTGCAACACAATAAGGTCATATAAGTGCCAAAGATTAGAGGTGTTACAAGGGAGTAACAAACACAAAAAAGAAGGGGAGATAAGGACGATAGGCGTTTGATAGGAAAGAAGAAGCAAACCACACCAGAGCACCCGCCAACCACCCGGGAACCATCTGTGAACAACACCTAACACACAAAAACCACACCAGAGCACCCGCCAACCACCCGCGAACCATCTGTGAACCACACCTAACACAACAACCACATCAGAGCACCCGCCAACCACCCGCGAACCATCCGTGAACCACACCTAACACAACAAACGAACAAACCAACGTTATTATCCCTCCCACCAAACAAACTAGCAATATGCAGCAGCAGCAACAACAAAGAAACAGGCCAGACGTAATAAACTCTCCCTCCGACAAGGGTCCGAAAACAAACCTGTCCGTTTCGCTTATTACGATCCAGCAGCTGCGAGAAAAGAAGATCATCGATTCTTCCATAAGACAAGGATGTGAGAAGCTATAGGTTCAATAACCAAGGGGGTAAAACAAACGATTGTTGTTTGTTGTTTCTTTCGACGCCGAGGTGGCGAGTGTGGATTTTTAACGACACGTTGGATCGCAGAATTTGATACACAGTGAACAGGGTCTTTGCCGAGCACGCAGAATGCGCGAGTTTGATTCCCGAGTGGGCAAGGGCTGGAAAGGGGTCCTCGGGTATCCCCGTCAATCTGTAAGGATGTACTAATTTAGCCCGAATTGGCCCTGACAAGGTTTTTCCCTCACACACGGAAAATGGTCCCTTTTAAGGACAAGGGGGCTATCCCGAAAATTGCTGTTTTGAGAAAATCGAAGGTAAAGTTTTTAAATGGCCCCTTGTTCAATGTCATTTTTTAAAAGAGGAGAGTTTTCTCTATAACCAAATAAATGTACACACCAATCAAACCAACCTTTTCCTATAGGTAGGGCAATGCCCATGTTCAGTGTCGGTCAAGATTTCTGGAAACCACCGAAATCTGGGTTACGTCGCTTGTCCTTAAAAGCGACCATATAATTATGCACTTGATTGACATGTGGGCAGGGGGAAACGAGGGAGGAAGAGAAAAGAAGTAAGACCTGCTATTAGTCCCGTCCTCCAACTACCCGCCCGCGCAGCGATTGCACACAACCAACACGACTTAGCAAGGATAATAAGCAAAGCGATCTAAGGCAATAAGGGATAATCTCTCTGGCAATGAACTCAGTAATTAAGCAGAAAAACAACAAGACAGTCGACTGACGTTGTCTGTACGCAATGTTGCAGCTTATAAACAATAATCCGTATTCATTGCACATTCTTAGGTTTGTACTATTATTTTTAGTGTTTGGCATTTCTTTAAAAATGTACGCTAAACGTCCTCATGGCAATTAATGTCGTGGTGTGCGGGCGAGTGCGTGCGTGCGTGCGTGCGTGTGTGTGTGTGTGTGTGTGT